GAATTAAAAGCGGTTTTTTTTTTTACCATCAAGCTGTCTCTCTGCTGTCTGTCTTCTTCTCTATCCTTTGGGACCAAAACCTTCGGGAGCCTGCTGGGTGGAGAAGGCGAGCACTGCCCCGGGGCCTTTCACTCCTTGCCGGAGGGTACAGCCCAGCCCTGGGAGCGCACAGCAGTCAGCTGGAGAAAACAAACAGCCGGGAGGGGCGAGGTACAGCCCAAGCCTGCAGGGACCAGGAGCGCAGCGACCTGGCGCATGGTTATGGCAGGCCTCTCGGGTGTTCTCCAGTCCCAGGCAGCAGGGTAAAAAGGCTCCCCAGGACGCACAGGTCCCTGTGTGGGCAGCGGTTTGGGGAATGGCCCAACCACGCATGTGGTTCTGGTGGGGTCAACACGGCAACGGAAAGCCGTAGGGGCGGGGAACTCACAGCCACCCAGCAGCTGCAAATGCGGCTTTTAAAGTGGTGGGTGTACTCACTTCCAGGTACACCGCAGGCACCATCAACATCACCTGGCTGCAGGACTGGCAGGTTGTGGACGTGAACTGGATCTTCACTGTTCCCATGCTGGAGGGCAAGCTGGCCTCCACGCAGAGCGAGCTCATCCTCACCCAGATGCCCTGGCTGTCTGACCACACCTACACCTGCCTGGTCGACAATCAAGACAACACCTTTGAGGAAAGCAACAAGAAGTGTGCAGATTCCAACCCGAGAGGGGTGAGCGCCTACTTGAGCCGGCCCAGCCCCTTGGACCTGTTTGTCAGCAGCTCCCCCATGATCACCTGTCTGGTGGTGGGTGTGGTGCCCAGCAAGGGGACCATAAACCTGACCTGGTCCTGTGCCAGTAAGAAGCCTGTGGCCCAGGTGATCTCAAAGCAGGAAAAGCAGTGCAATGGCATGGTCACCATCATATCCACCCTGCCAGTGGGCACCAGAGACTGGATCGAGGGGGAGACCTACCACCGCAGGGTGACCCACTCCCACCTGCCCAGGGCCTGAGGGGGTCTGACGACATGACCCAATGGCAGGACTGAGGGGGCCTGGAGCAAGTGCTGGCACAAGCCATCAGCCTCACAGAGCCCTGGGTAAAGCTGACCATAGAGGTCCATGAAGTCAATCTTCTCCTGGACATTTGCACAGCCTTCTCAGTAGTTCTGAGACTTGGTGCTTGTTAATTCTCTCCCCTCAGATTCTCCCTCTCTAGGCCTATCTTGGGAAGGACCATTTTCTGTTATTCTGTCCATTCCAACGGCAGTTAAGGTGGTGGGAATTGACTTGTGGATTCATCACACTCGGCCAAAGCCTTGGACACCTCCTGAGGAAAGTTAGAGACCCTCCGCTCTGCAGCCTGAAGATCCAGGAGACAACCCTTCATCCACCTGCGAGCCCTTAGAGGATCTGCCTCTGCTTTTCCAACAAGATCCTCAGGGAAGTAACCACGCATCAGTCTAATTTATATGCTGGCATTAACAGGACTATAACCCTCAACCTTGATATCTTTCGAACTCTGAGCATCCTTTTCATAGTGGGAAGGGAAGCTGCCTCTTTCTAGGAAAAGTGCTGCTGTTTTGTAAGCCGGTTAAGTATTGTGAGGCTTGTTTAACAACAGACTGTCCTGGCTCTGTTCTCTTGCAGGCTCATTTATAAACATTCTGTATTTGCTGGCCTCTGGGCCTCTCATCTTTAACCACCTTGTCACGTTCATTTCCTATAGAACCATAAGGTCACGAATAATCCTGCCACTGGAACCCAGGATGTCTTTGGCTCATGAGCTCTATCATGGACCTCAGGATCAGCCTGCACCCCTGAGAGGCTCCCCTCTGGAGAAAACCTCAACTACAGGGCCCCTTCTACACCCTATTTCAGCAGGAAGTAGTTAAAGAGGATCGACACCCGTGTTCCAACAGAAGTTAGGCTTTCCTGTTCAGATGGGGGGAATGAGGGAAGGTGTTCTCTTTCTGGGTCCACAGGGGGGTGTAGTTTTAAGGGCAAGAATTTCCCAGTGCCATTCCCCCCTCCCATCTCTCTCCATACAGGAGATTTAACGGTTTATGTTTGAATTTCGAGGACACGGGAAGAAACTAAGAGTCAATCACTCCCATGGAAGTTCTAAGGAACTCCTTTCATTGGCCCAGGGTCTTAGATAAGGTGGGGGTTCCTCCCAGGTTAAAAATCCCCTTCTTCCACACCCCTTCAGACTCCATGTTTGAGTCCCCTTCCATGAACACTCCCTTTGAGGAAACCATCTTTCTCTCTCCTGGATTTTTCCTCTGGAGTCCCCTTCCACACTCTCTCGTGGAAGCCTGTCTTCCCCTCTCCTAAACTCCATCTCTCTCTATTCCCTTCCACTCATGGTGGAAGCTGCTTTCCTCTCCTGGATCTATCTTTCTGGATTCTCTCACTCAGTGTGAGAGTCAGCTGTTTCTTTCTCTCTCCTCCTCCTGTTTCTCCCTCTTGCTCTCTAAATAAATCATTTTCTACAAACACTTTTGAGTCTGGCATTTACTGTGCACTGTGCTGTGTCCCCTCTCATTCTTGAGAGGGCAGGAGATGAAGAACCTGGAGAAACATCCTCTCAGGAGAGCTTAAGGCACCCTGAACCCCAATATTACAAAGCCAAATATATCTACAAAATTTACAGTGTTTCTCAAACTCATATCAACCATAATTAGGTTTATAAAGGGGCTGTGTATTAAAAATAAGAGAGACAAAAGAAAATGTTTTATTGTTGTCTAATAACAATGGGAAACAGAGGGAAGAAAGAGAATGTAGTGGACATTTATAGTTTCTGTCACACATCTTTTCTTAGGAACAAACTACCCTGACTTTGCTTTGAGAAGTCTCTTTTCCTCCACTCTGAGCTCCTATTATGTGGTTGTAGAGGGCATCACATTTCCTCTCTGGGAGCTCTTACGGGATCTTGTAGATCAACCTGTTCCCCACCCATGATCAACAAAGGTGGCTGAACCAAAGCTGGGCCATTTTAGGCCAGTGAAAGTAGGCTGAGCATGAAAACCAAGCAGTGAGATTGTGAACTCTGCAGCTGCTGCAGCCCCCATATCATGGAGAAGGGGAGCCTAAGAAAGGAAACAGCACAACACAGAGAACAGAAACTCATCTAGCTGAGATACAGAGAGAATCATGTCTGGCTGGCTGGCAGTGGGATTTTGCATCATACAATACCTAAAAGGGTTCCCTACCACTGAACTCCCCATTATGTTAGTTCATAAATTCTGTTTTGCTTTAAGCCGGTTTAGGTTGAGTTGTTTGACCCTTGCAGCAGAACAGGTCCTGACTGATTATATTCCTTGTGGTAAGTAATGCCAGCTACTTTAAGAGAGCTGAACTTTCCCAAATTCATTGGATTTACAGTGTTTGTTTTCTCATTCACATCTCAGTCTAATGCCAGTGCTGGGAGGGCTCAGCTCCAGGTAGTCCTTAAAAGACTGGGCTTTTGTTTTTTAAAATGTCTTGACCTCTTCCAGGTCCTTGTGCTTTACTCCATGTACGTACTAGATGGATAAGGAAGATAAAGAAGACTTGAATGTGGAAAGTTTTCATGGGCCAGGTCTGGGAGTGTTGCATTTCAGTTTCTGTCATACTCATAGCTTAGAACTCAGTCCCATCAAACTGTAGGAAAGCCTAGAAAATACAATCCAGTTACATACCAGGAAGTGAAAAAAGACAGATATTTATGGGCACTAGCAGTATCTGCCACAGCCTAAACTCCTGGTCACAAAATATCTTTTAGCTCCCTTCTGCTCATAAACTAACCACACTCATCCGCCTGCAAAGGAAGCACCTGTGTCATTCTGTCTGGAGCTTCCTGGTGATGCTGCCTTATCTCGGTCAAGCCTGAATACAACTGGCTGCTTTGATTTGATTTCCTGTGACTTAAGGAAAACATGTAATCTAGCTTCTCCTTTTCCGCACAAACCCAATCTATAAGATGGAAAGGGGGACGAGAAAGCAACAATAAAAACTCCTATTTAGAGAGTGAAAAAAAGGGAAGGATTTTTTAAATTCTTCGGGCACACATTCGAGAAATGTATTGGATTAGACCCTGACTCTGTTCTCTGAGAAGACTCCCTTGTCAACGTTTTTTTCTGGGCCTCTGATCCACCTTCCCTGAAGCTGTTCCTTGTCTGTCATCCTCCATAGTCTCATGTAAAGCAGGGATTGAGAAGCATCCTACTTGGGAGGATGTACCAGTCAGTATCTCACCAGAAAACACATGGTATGCTCAAATTAGGATCATTTAAGGGGGATTTACTTACAACAGGACTATGTACATGCAAGGTTCTTTGAAGTGACTGCACCAAAGGGCATACCTCAGTCGAGCCATGCCGACTCCCATGACCCATACATACATCTTTGGATGGCCTCTCGGAGTCAGAAAGGCTGAAGTAAGAAGAATTGCTGGCTCCTGCAAAGACTAGTTGACCTCACAACATTGTACCATTGTTCCTGCCTCAACTGTTCGTGCCTTAACTGATAAACCAACCTTGTGACACTGGACCTTGGACCTTGTGACACACCACACTTCCCCACTGCCAACACTCCCCTGGCTTGCAAAAACTGCCCTGAACTGTAACTTCGGTGACTTTCCACTGCCTACCCCAAACCTATAAAACCAACTCTTATCCCACTGCCCTCCGCCGACTCTCTTTTTGGACTCAGCCCACCCACACCCGGGTGAATAAACAGTCTCGTTGCTCACACAAAGCCTGTTTAGGGGGTCTCTTCATTCAGAGCACACTTAACAGTACAGAGAAAAGGAAGGGGAGGGGAAGCAACAAGGATAACCCATGCTTAGAAACTGTTGAGCTTTTCATACTCCTAGGTCCTAGAGTATGAGAAAGAGAGTGATTACCAGAATCCAGAAAAAGAGAGTGTCTTGTAGAGAAGCTCATTCTTCAAGAAATGGTAGGCCTTAGGAATGATGGAGATCCAGCCTAAGACAACCTTTCAGGTAGGGAACCAGGGAAACAAGCACCCTAACCTTTCTTCTGGTTTTCTTCCAGTCTCTTGGTAGAAATGATTACTCCTTGGTGGCTGCCCTTCTGTTTTCTTCTTCCTTTTGCTTCTCATACTGTATATTGCTCTATGAGGGCATACAAGAAACAGAAAAGAGGAATCTTTATGATGATAGTATGCATGGCAATTCTACTTTTAATTCTGAAAAATATTATAGATTAATCTTAGAATAAAGAGATTGTCTAAATATAAAATGTAAAGAAACATGAATTTAAAAGGAAAAACAGATGTAGCATTCCAGAATTGACTATGTGATGAAAATATGGTATGAAGTTAGGTGTTCAAATAGAGAAGCTGAGAGTTTACAGACACGGCCTTCTTTGAGATACATTGATTTGATCACCAACTCATTGTTTTAATCATGCTTCTCTTTTGTTAGTTTCATACAGTTCAGGTCACATCTAACCTCTCACGAAAAAGACACAGATTATGATTCATCTACTTCCAATTAGCATATTTATTTCTGTTAGCTGAAACACTTCTGACACCCTGTGAAAAGGAAATTCTTGAAAAATTTTTGCACATAGCAAGTCTGTCCACTTGGAAACACATTTGCGTACTTTATATTTTTATATGTTTTTCAGTTTAAAGTGCTTTACACACATAATTTCAATTAATCTTCTCAACACTATAATGTAGTTAGTGTTATTTCTCTTTGCACTAAAATGAAAGTAAGGCTTGGAATAGTTAAGTTACCAACCCAAGGTTGGGAGGCGATTATGGATCCAGACCTTCCTTGCATTTTTATTTCCTGATATCAAACTTTACTTGTAAATAGCACAAACTTGTCTCATTGTCCAGAATGCATGATGCCTTGTAACATCCAAAAATGTCTCCAGAATTCGGATGTCAGCATACCCCAGACCACACTATTAGCATTAAATCTGCTCACATTTGCCAGTCTTAATTCTTATTTCTGTGGAGGCTGCTTGACCTGCTTCTTGGGTCTCTCTGTCAGCAGGCACAGTAACAAATCACATTGTCACGTCTTTAGTGCCATGCACATGGACATGGTATTCTGTCAGTAAATGTCATTAAATTGAACTTAAAATTCCCATGGAAAAGTTAGCACAAGGCAACATTTTTACAAAGAGCATCTCTCTCTTTATCTTACTTATGTTTATCCTGGTCATAGAATTCCTCAAACAACTTTTACACTCCCAATGTGTAAAGGATGGTCCACAATTTTTAGGTTTATATTTGATACTTTGCAAAATCTCATTCAAAACTTTCTTTTCAACTTTAATTTTTACCACCTCTGGGAACACGTTTCTTCTCCTGTAGCCAAAAGTCTTCCAACCATATCATAAAAAAGAAATCAAAGTCCTTGCTTCCAGAATTTTGCTTATTCCCATGCCTCCTGAAGGAATATCCTCCCCCTCTGAACTCAACCAGATTGCCTCAGTTTCTCCAGGGACTAAGGACAGTTCTTATTTTCTCTCCTTGTATCAGAGTTCAGCCCAGGAGCAGAAACCAGACCAGATATTTTCAGCAGAAATGGATTCAATTCAGAGAAACGGTCGGAAGAGCTGGAAGATCAGGAGGTTGCTGCTCAGGTATTGACTGTAAGGTCACGCTATTTCAGTTGCAGTCTAGCAGTAAGGAAGTGACTGCTACAGGAGTTTCTTGTGGTCACAAGCTGGAGACTATGCATTCAAATGGTTTGATCAAATCAGCGAATAAATGCCATAATCTATTGCCGATTTCATTTTCAACCAGTGGATTTGAGAGAACATCTAACTTCTATTTGATTCTTTATATTTAAAAATATTTTTAATAACAAGACTAATGCATTCTAAATGGAGAAAATACTGAAACGGTGGAGAAATGTATCCTTTAAGGACCTCCAGCACTGAAATCCATACCCCTGAGGTATCCATGTTGCATAACTGGCTTCCAGCTTACAAATCTTATTATGGAAATATGCTACAAATATACACATACACCCCTGCCCTCAACGCACGCACGCACACACACACCCCTGCCCTCAACGCGTGCGCACACACACACACACACACACAGAGTTCTTCTGCCCCCAAACAGGATCATATTATAAATATGACATTGACAACTGTATTTTCCACTTCTCTACATACGGCCTCTGTTTGTTTCGGTGTATATTTTAAGGGCAGTGTAGTATTTGATTCTGTGTGGTGCTTTACATCCAGCTTCTCATTTTTCTATCATAATTTACACTTTGCAAAGCATCTTTATATACATCATGTTATGGCCAACAAAGTTTGGTCAAACAAATCTGTGCTCAATTCAATAAAATAGAAGGAATCGACAGTCACTTTTCACATTAGTACTCCATGTACATATGACCTAAGAACCCAGAAGGGACTTACTGGTTTGGTCTGGATTTGTTGGTATTTTAAAACATTTTTTTGAGTGACTCAATAAGTGAGAGAGGAAATGGAAATAAAATTTCAATTTGTTTCATCTTCTGCTGTGATCCCATTGAGTTCCTGAGCACCAGTGATGAGGAGTAGATTGAATTAGGCAGCCTAAGTTTGACCAGAAGACTAAATTCCCCTGGTGACTTCATCTGAGCTGTGACACTTTCCCTGATTTCATAGGGAACTCCTTGGGGACTGAGGGTGATCTGAAAAGCTGGCTCAGTGTTTGCTGCGAGTAAATTTACTTTATGAGGCAGCTATGTGGGGGAGGGGAATGTTATTTTAACACCTCTCCTACTCGGTGCTCTAGTGGAATGCTCAAGGTCCCAGCCTCTTTTAGTGCTATTTAAGCAGCAAATGATTTTTTACACTAGGAAGACTCATTTTCTTTAGAAAAGAATATTCTTTGTATTGCTATACCCTTTGCTAGAGATTCTTAAGATCCTTTCATGGTTCAGATGCAAAGTGCAGAGTTGTCTACTCAGGACATTTCTCCAATACCTTGGTGTTTACTTTCAGGACATTCAGCATCACAACGCTGGCCCTCCCAAATCTCATGTCCTTTTCACATAGTCAGACGTGTTTAAACTAGAGCAACTCCATCTAGAATAGGGTCTGGGTAAAATGAGGCTGACACGTCCTGGGCTGCATTCTCAGGAGGTTAGGCATTCTTGATGTCTAAGGGATGAGACAAGAGATCAGCACAAGACACAGCTCACAAAGAGCCCACTGATAGAACAGGATGCAATAAAGAAGACAGCCAAAGCCCTCCAAATCAACGTGGTGATGAAAGTGACCTCTGCTCATCCTTACTGCTCATTTTTCATTAATTACAATGCATTAGCATGCTAAAAGACACTCCCATCAGTGCCATGAGAGTTTACAAATGCAATGATGTCTAGAAGTTACCCTATGTGATCTAAAAAGGGGGAAACCTTCAGTCCTGAAAAATTGCCCACCCCTTTGCCAGAAAACTCATGAATAATCCACCCCTTATTTAACATATGATCAAGAAATAACTATGAAAATAGCCAAGCAACAGCCCTTGGGCTGCTTTGCCTATGGCGTAGCCATTTCTTTATTCCTTTACTTTCTTAATAAATGTGCTTTTACTTTACTCTGTGGACTTGTCTTGAATTCTTTCTCACACAAGATCCAAGAACCCTCTCTTGGGATCTGAACTGGGACATTTTGCTGGTAACAGCACTGCAAAATACAATCATGCCTTCCCAACGGCCACCCAAAATCTTGATTCATTCCAGTGTTAATTCAAAAGTTTAAAGTCCGAGTCTAGAATCTCATCTAAGATTCCTCTCCTTCCACCTATGAATTAAAATTAAAAACAAGTTAGTTATTTCTGAAATACAATGGGGGTATAGCCATTGGGTAAACAATCTTATTTCTAGAGGGAGAAATCATACCAAAAGAAAGGTACAGGACCCATGCAAGTTCAAAACCCAGCAGGGCGTCCACTAAATCTTAAAGCTCCAAAATAATCTCCTTCTACTCAATGTCCCATATCCAGTGCCTACTGCTCTAAGGGGTGGCCTCCCAAGGCCCTGGGCAGCTCTGCCCTTACAGCTTTGCAGGGATCAGTCCCCATGGCTGCTCTCATGTGTTGAAGTTGAATGCCTGCAACTTTCCCAGGCACCAGGTACAAGCTACAGGTGGATCTACCATTCTGGGGTCTGGAGGATGGTGGCACTGTCTCACAGCTTCACTAGGCAGTGCCCCACTGCAAACTCTGTGTGAGGGCTCCAACTGCACACTTGCCCTTGGCACTGCCTTAGTAGAAGCTCTCTGTGAGGACTCTGCCCTTCTAACAGGCTGGTCACCCAGACTTTCTCATAAGCCTCTGAAATCTAGGCAGAGGCTACCAAGCACTCTTCACTCTTGAACTCTGCACACTCACAGGCTTAACACCACATGGAAATCACCAAGGCTATGGCTGTGGCCTCTGGAGCAGAGGCCTGAGCTCTATTTGTCTTCTTTGAAGTGAGGCTGGAGCTGAAGTGGCCAAGATGTGAGGAGCAGTGTGTGAGGCTGGTCAAGGCAGCAGTGTCCTGGACCGGGCCCACAAAACCATTTTTCCCTCTAGGTCTCTGAGCTTGTAATGGGACGGGCTACAGTGAAGGTCTCTGAAATGACTTTGAAGTCATTTTCCAGGTGTCTTGTATGTTAGCACTTGGCTTCTTTTCAGTTATGCAAATATCTCTAGCAAGTGGTTGTTCCACAGCCAGCTTGAATTCCTCTCCCAAAAAAGCTTTATTGTTTTCTGCCATATGACCAGGGTGAAAATTTTCCAAACTTTTATACTCTGCTTTCCTTTTAAATATAAATTCCAACATTAAGTCATTTATTTGCTCCTGCATCTGAGGCTAAGTAGGTTGTTAGAAGCAGCCAGGCCACCTCTTGAATGCTTTACTGCTTAGAAATTGATTCCACTTTGATTCCACCAGATACCTTAAATCATCACTCTGAAGTTCAAACTTCTACAAATCCCTAGGGCAAGAATACAATGCAGCCAACTTCTTTTGCTAAGGCATAACAGGGGTGACCTTTGTTCCAGCTCCCAGTAAATTCCTCATTTCCATTTGAGGCCCCATCAGCCTGCCCTTCACTGTCCTTATTTCTATCAGCATTTTGGTCCCAACCACTTAACAAGTCT